TACAGAGAAAAAATTATGAAAGAATGAAAGGTCATCAATATTTGGACAGCATATGCTGACAATACATAAGCTTTGATTCTGTTTAAATATTTTGTATATGATACGGATTTCCGAAAAAGCATACATCATTTTTGAAAGGGGAAAACTTTAAGGTAATTTATGAAGTACAGCATTTCCTAAAATAAATACAATAAACTGTATTTTATCACTTGAGAACCAAAGCCACATCTAGTGGGTAGCTCACAAGATAAAAAAATACTGTTGTAGATCATTTTGAATTTTCTGTTTATTATTATGAAACAACTTTAGAAGACAGATAAAAGTTTGATTCAAAATGTCCACTCCACTCAGTTGCACTGGTGATCTTTGATACATGCATATGCTATATATGAATTGGAATGTTGTATTATGTGAAGTGCCTTGAGACTACTCTTGTCGTGATTTGGCGCTATATAAATAAACTTGAATTGAATTGAATTGAATTACAGTAAAATCTACTGAACACCTGCTTGAGTTTGCCAGAGGCTTGGGCCAGCTGGCCAACAAGCTGTTTAGTTTCCACATCTATGTAACAGAATGCTATGGGATCATGCTGCATACCATAACTAATGCTGCACACAGTCGGTGTCAAGGTGCTTTGGCATCATGCAAAGCAGGGTTGAATATTGTCACCTGGTTCTACCACCATCTTGACAAATTAAATCATTTAAAAATTGTATATATATTGTATATATATTTATTTAGGGTTAAAGGGAAGGGATTGCCATGCAGAGCCTGCCTGTCATAATCCCAACCCGAGACTCAGTTCCTGCAAGGTCAGTGTAATCCCTATCATAAGCACTCTAACCACTCATCTACTGCACCGAATTAAACTCTTTTTTTAATGACCTGATAGTACATGCAAGTGCTCGGCTTGGAGTTTACTGTCTCTGAGTTTAAGAAGATGTACATGTGCCGTGATGTCTCAGCTTCAAACCGTATGCTGCTCTCTTCCTCACTAGACTGTAGTACGACCGCACTGAGCATAATGCTAAGTCATTATTTGGCTCTATTTCAAACCAAATGTTGCAAAGCCAGACTGCAATACATCCCTGTCGAAAGCCAAATCCTAGCTGCCCTCTCACTCTCTGCACCACTCTTTTATTAGCAGCAACGCAACGAACAGCTGGAATCTGAGGCAGCAAAAAGATGCTCCACACAAACTTGTGAATGTTTGTTTTTGTGAATATAAATTATCTAATTTTTGCTTGTGCACAAATACGTGTGTGTTTGTGTGTGTTAGATAAGACAGTGCTGGAATCAGGAGAGCCTCAAGGCACCATACGGTCTCTGTCGTTCTTAGACCCCTCTGTTCTCATCTCCAGCTTCTCCTCCTTCATCCCGACTTTCTTTTCCCTTAAACTGTACCGCTTTGATCTCACACTCATCCTCCTCTCCACTCCCTGTTGCTTCTGACTCTGCTTCTTTGCTTTTATGAGTTTTGCATCACTTTGCAACATAATACCTCCTGATTTAATTAGAAACAGTTTGGGGTGATTGGATTGTTTCTCTTGAATGTAAATTAAGTTTCATTTGTCCCTATTGAATGTTTCTCACAATAATGTAGCAAAACTGAGAACACTGAACTTCAAAATAATCACTCACTAAGACAAATCATTGTTTTTTATTATTCAGTAAAATACGTTTCATAATTATTGAAATAAACCTAATTAAAATCTTTTAAAATGTGACATATTTGTCTCATTTACTTGATGAATGAATGTTGTAATAATTGATTGTATAAATTGTAATGTTCTTCCCTTTTTTATTTTAGTGCTCAAACATTCATGTCACCGGACGACCACACTGTCTCTGCACAAATATCAAACTGTCTCTCTGCCATATCGAAATGGATGAAATCCCACCATCTCCAACTCAACCTCTCTAAAACTGATCTACTTGTCATTTCAGCAAAACCATCCATACAGCACAATATCTCAATCCAAAATGACTTCCTATCTCTGGCTCCTTCAAAGGCAGTTTGAAATCTGGGTGTTGTGATTGATGAACACCTGACCTTTAAAGACCATGTTGCCTCTGTTGCCCGTTCATGCCGCTTTGCGCTGTATAACCTACGAAAGATCAGACTATACCTAACACAACATGCCACCCAGCTCCTGGTGCAATCTACTGTCATCTCCCGCCTCGATTACTGCAATGCCCTTCTAACTGGTCTTCCAGGCTGTACTGTGAGACCTCTTCAAATGGTCCAGAACGCAGCGGCGCGTCTGGTCTTCAATCAGCCAAAAAGAGCACACGCCACCCCTCTGTTCATTGAGCTCCACTGGCTACCGCTAACAGCATGCATCAAATTCAAATTGCTAACACTAGCATACAAAGTCCGAGATGGTACGGCTCCCATCTACCTGAATCCTCTTGCAAAGGCTTATGTCTCGGCCCGGCCGCTCCGGTCATCACAGGATCGTCGGCTAGCAGTGCCTACACCACGCTCAGGACAATCCAGAATTTTCTCATGCATCGTTCCACAAATGTGGAATGACCTTCCAAGCACTTGCAGAACAGTGGCTTCCTTTTCAATTTTCAAGAAACTCCTGAAGACCCTGCTCTTCAGAGAGCATCTTCTAAACTAGCACCCTCCCTGCACCTGTCCCCCCTCTCTACTGTCCACTCCTTGTTCTCTACGCTCCATGACTGATGTCAATGTTGTTGTTTTTGCTGTTGTTAGCATCAATTGCAACATGCCGATTATCACTTGTAAGTCGCTTTGGACAAAAGTGTCTGCTAAATACATAAACATAAACATGTCACACTTAACACTTCATTCAATTAGAAAATGAATTGAAAACACAAACACAGAAATGCAACACACTTTCAGTATTGTGAGGGCTGTTGGATTTCACAACATCTTTACAGGAGCAATTCCCATCTGTCAAATTCCAGATTAATTTAATCTGCTTTTTTGCTGAAACAAAAACCCAAGCAATTATTTTTTTGGCATAGTGTCAGTTCTCTCATTTTTGTGATATTATGCTTATCACTTCCTCACATGTCCAACCCCTCTCAAGGACTTGGGTTCCAGAGCCAATGCTATGTGTCAAGGTGAGTCCGACTATCGGGAGGTGGCCGGGGAGAGGACGGTCTCAAGCTCCCTAGTTGGGATGCTGCCCCTGCCACCCGGACCCGGATAAGCGGAGGAAGACGACGACGACTTCCTCACATGCAAATTATTTGGCAAATGAGTCAATAAAGGTGTCAGTGGTGATGTATTTAGTGTGCAGGGATTTGAACATTTTGATAATAATCACTTACTTCCTAATTTTGGGGATATTTTAGATTTGATCAAATGTGCTTTAAAGCCATACAATGCAACCTTTTCATATTTTTAAATAATTTTCTTGTGCTCTACTGTGAAAAAATGACCCTTTACAGGGTTAATTAAATGTCACTCAGACCCTTATTACCACCCTGTGGTCAGAATATCACACTTGCAACTTCAGAGTGCCGGTCCGGTCTTAGTAAAGTGGAGCTGACTTGCCAGCACTACAGTCGGCTTCCAGCTTGTTTTAGGTCATGAACACAGCTGAATTGTTTGGTTTAGTGATGAACCGCTCCAGTAGGCACTAATGAAGGCTGAGGAGACATTTCAGCAGTTAATTTAAGGTGTTAAAAAGACGAATGCACAACAAGGAGAACGGTTTCACTTTTGGTTTTACTAATGAACACTAGGGGGTGCTAAAAGTGAGCCAAAACAGCTTAGTATCCCTTTAAAGATGACAACTTTCAGATAAAAGGAAAATATTAATTTTATAACTTCAGTCACAAACTGTTCTTCAAAGGATTTATGAATCTTTGCACATGGAAAAAAGTCGATTCCAAATATAGAATTAAGGCAACTGGAATTTAATGCAATGATCCAAAGACGGCTGGGGAAAGTCTAGAGTGCTGGAAAAGATATGAGCGGCTGAAATGGAGACAAGCTCGTTGGTCTACAGGGAGGTATTGACTTTGAGGTTGTGTGTGGGTGTGTGGAGGTTCTGACAGATAGTGTTGCCCTGTTATTAAGTGTCCCTGGTGCTACCACGCCAGTTTGTGGGGGCGATTCTGCAAGACACCTCTTGAACAACAAAATCATCCACTCCTTCTTTTTACAAGGAAGATCCTTGTATTTTTTTTTAAGTGCGAGAATCATTAAGCAGGGGAGTTGGTGTGAGTTTGCAGAGCGTGTGCTTCTGTCACACGAGATGTAAAACTAGTGAAAGAGAGAGGATGCTTTTCTGTTTGTGGGAGAATTATCATCTTTCTCATCTAATCGACAGCACGCACGTGCTCAGCGCTGTGCCTCTAGACTTGTGATGGATTTTCTTTTCAGACTGTCTACCCACAGAAAGACATGAGCAAAAGGGGAAAGGTTGATAGCAAAAGAGTGGCAGACAGAAATGATGTTAAAAGGAGAAGACAGAAAGAGAGCGATGTGTCTCAGTGGGTTCTGATGTTACCAGAGTTGCAGATGAGGCATTTAGAGGTTAAGTAAAGTTCAAGGGCCCAGGGTGTGAACCTTGACAGGAACGCATGAGGAGAATCATGTATGCAGAGATCTAGTTGTATTTGAAAACACTGAATTCAGGTTATTGGTGAAGAAAAGATGAAGAGGAAATGGATAATGAGGAAAGAACAGACAGACTGTGCTCTAATACATCTCCGTTCTTCACATCCCTCTGTGTTTTATTTCCACAGACTGTAATAATACATACAGCCAGTTTTGGATTTTACCAACCGATTTGGCACGTGTGTGTGTGTGTGTGTGCGTGCGTGCATGCGTGCGCGCGCGCGCGTGTGTGTGTGTGTGTGTGTGTGTGTGTTTGTGTGTAATCATGCTGGGTATGCTAACAATAGCAGCTGTCACAACAGCTTTCCTTCTTTCTTGCACAGCTAGCAGTACAACCAAGTCCAGCAGGAATGGAGCATTTTTACTGCCCTTCTCTTAAAATGTGTCTACTCACCAGGTCCGGGTAGGCCATGGCCCCCAGGGGGGTGGGTGTAAGGGGGCATGACACAGGGCTCTGCGGCCTTCCTCTGTCTGAGGAGTGCGGTGGTGAAGAGGGTCAAGCTGCCATGCCTGCAGCCTCCTGTGGGACGGGGACTGAGAACAACTGCAGCAATCACCTGAACAAAGGAATAAAAGAGGAGCAAACATGTCCTGGTCACTACCAATTTAGTCTTTACTGCAGTGTCACACACACACACACACACACACACACACACACACACACACACACACACACACCCTTTCTTGCACGCACACACAATGCTGTTTATGCAAAATGTGTATTTTTTGTGTCTACATTCTGTGTCGTGTGTGTGTGTGTGTGTGTGTGTGTGTGTGTGTGTGTGTGTGTGTGTGTGTGTGTGTGTGTGTGTGTGTGTGTGTGTGTGTGTGTGTGTGTGTGTGTGTGTGTGTGTGTGTGTTTACGCAAGCATTACAGGCCCGCCGGTATTTCACAGTCATGAATAATGAATGTGTGCGTGCGTGCATGTGTGTGTCCTTAGTAGTTAGCATAATCAGTTTCCCTTTAACACAGACAGACCTGCAACAGCAGCCGCCTCACAGGCACAGACACCAATACAGGAAAGCAAGAGTTGAGAATGAGGACAAGAAGATATTTAAATGAAAGCATGGACAGAAAATTCCACAGAGAAGACGGTGACGCGTGGAAAGTGTTAAGGGAACAGAAATAAATGCCATGAGAGTAAAGTACAGTTTATAAACTCTGCACCACAATGCAGAAAAAATACACCTTCAAAATATCAAAAATTATTTGCTGAGTCTGGAAAAAAAGACCCAAGTGAGTCCAAGGACAGCTGAGCAAACTTATGTTTCCCTAAAAATAAAATAGACATGTTTTAACTCCATCTGTCTGTGTGGCCAGCTGGCATCTTAATTTTAAGTATTTAGACAAATTAAACCACATAATTAGTGATCTGACTGCATTAAGCAATATAAAGATGTTTTAGTTTGTTTTATCTTGTTTGCAGGCCTGACTAGAACTAACAGGAGTTATCTTTGATCGGTAGTAAATGTTGTATTTAAAAGAGTCATCTTGTTACTGTTGTAAGGAGTTATCACGGGGATCGCTGTGTTAGCTGCTCCATGCAGCAGAGGGTTGTTTCACACCCTGAGGGCCAATCAGTGCAATGTTTGAAAGCTGGAGTTCTACTGCAAGAAGAAAAAAGCCTTTTTTGTAACCGACATCAAACCCAATCAACAGCGTGTGAAAAATGGCAAGAATCAGATTAGAATGCTGTTTGTTTTGCTTTTTTTTTGCCGCTGGCTGCTGGTGCCGAAACCCTGAAACCGTCTTTCTTCATTTGGCAGTTGGGTTGATTACAGATGAAGTTGCATTCGAGTGTGTGTTTGTTCTGGTTTCTAGACACATGCTGTGTGCAGTAATTATGTAAATATGCACCTGTGCCACCTTAAACAGGCATTCGAAAGAAGAGAAAAATAAAATAGCACATGGCATTAGGGCTGACAGGTTAGCTACGCTTATTTAAGGTGCTGTAAAGTTGTATTTGTATACTGACGTTCATCAGTTTGTTGGGAGTGTCAGTGGGTCATTTACAGCTGGTTAAATATGGAAATTAGAGGAGTCGATAAAATAAGAGCTGAGAAATGAAAAAGGTGTGGAAAAGGAAGGAGAAACAGGAAACCCCAGAAGGGGAGAGGAAGTAAAGATTATTGTATTTAGTAAAGAAGGAGGACATTGAGATTTTTCTTCTCATCCTCTGGAGTGTGTGTGAGCGTGTGTGTGCGCGCGCGTGTGTGTGTGTGTGTGTCATTCGATTTTTCTTCACTTATTCTTTAGATTTAATACTTCCTCCCATTTATTTTTATCTGTCCATCTTCTCTTCAACCATCTTTCATGAGTTTGCAGTTCTGTGTGTTTTTGTCATCACTCTTATTCATCCTATTTCTCCATCTTTCTTTCCTTGACAAACAGCAGAGGCATGAATCAAGGATGCTCCGCAGATGGATTTCCTGCATGTGATTAAAGTCACATTAGCCGAGCTCCACTGGGAAATTTCAGCTCTTCTTTCTAAACGAGCACAGAAACGTTGATTAGAAATGAAGGGAGATTGAGGAATTCCTCAAATCTAAAGTTGAACATGTTTGTTTGTTTATGTATTTACTGACTTATTTACTTAGAAGGGCTGTTGTGTTTCGGCAGAAAGGTGGTGATGGAATCAGCTGCTGTTTTCCTGGTTGATCATTATTTGAAACAGGAAAAGTTCACACAAGGCTTGTTATAATAACCTGACCAAAAATCTACACAAAGACCTATTTGTGTGAACACACGTGTAAATACTTGATGCTGGAGTGGCCTGACATGTGACGCCTCACTGTAGTTTCCTTTTCTATTTAATATGATCAAACTTTTTCGTTGACAAATAAGTGTCTTCTGCACAAGTGTGTGTGTGTGTGTGTGTGTGCGTGCGTGCGTGTGTGTGTGTGTGTGTGTGTGTGTGTGTGTGTGTGTGTGTGTGTGTGTGTGTGTGTGTGAGAAACCTACTCACATAAGTCCTACTTTCACAGCATTTCTCCTGACGTGTCTGATTAATAGCTTTTAATCATTTAGGCCGGAGTTCTGCCCTGATTGCCTTCAAATTAAAGTAGAACCGGTGTTTGTGTTTGTGTGTGTGTGTGTGTGTGTGTGTGTGTGTGTGTGTGTGTGTGTGTGTGTGTGTGTGTGTGTGTGTGTGTGTGTGTGTGTGTGTGTGTGTGTGTGTGTGTGTGTGTGTGTTCAGCGAGATTTACAAATTTCTTTCCAAACAAGACCATGCACAGAAAAAGAAACAAGCTGTAGAAATTCAAGACAAGATGTGTTCATTGTCATCGTGCATGGTAGAGAAGAAGATGCAGCCAAGCTTCTTAAATCAATTTTTTATGTAATATTTTACACAGACGAGGGGAAAGACTCTGCAGTAACACACGCACACACACACACACACACACACACACACACTAAAACAGAGCTTGATAAACAGAGCCATATGTGCTGACAGCCCCCCGCTGCACAAGAGTATGTTTTACCACCAACAGGGACTGGTCAGCTGGTAGATACCTAAACATGATTGTTTTTGTTTTGAAATATTAGTCTTTGAAATTGAATTTTATTTTAGGACTGTCACTTTTAACTCTGATTGGACACAGCAGGCTATATATATTAGAATGGGCATTAGAGGGATTTAGATTTGGCATTTGACCGCTACTTTTAATTTAAAGTATCTTCCCGCCATTTTAATTACATTTCATGTTGAGTTTATTTGTCATGGCAACAGTTTACATACTTTTGTATCTCAATGTCTGCTGGAGAAAATGCAGTAGTTTGGATGAATGATTACGAGTCAGATGGATGGTGTCACTTAAGCCAGTTGCCATTTTTCTTGTTAGACATGCCAAGTTACTGCACAAAGCATGTAATCAGTTATTTGTTTCATCTAGAATGATGTCAGAGTGGATCTATGTTACGTGGCAGATAGTCAAGTTGCAGACAGAGGCATAAAAGCCTCGGGGACATCAGGCTGACGAGGCCTCGTGCTCATTTCATAATCGTATAATCACGCTGCAGCTTCAGCGAGCCCAGCACTTTCACATCACACCTTAGAAAACAGTGCATGAGTTAGCAAAGCACCATGCTGCAGGTAAAAGAACTGAGATTCAACTCCTTTTAATAGCACCAGTCAAAGATTTTAAATGGAATAAAATTAAATAAGATAGAGTGAAGGTCAAACTGAAAAGAGAACCAGCTTCGTTAGCTTAGTGCAACTTTAACCAAAGCCAAGTTTCTATAAAAATATGCTGTTTAACTAGTCCATCAAAAATTAAATCGATTTTATTCCCAATATTACACCTGTTGTTGTCCTCGCACCAGTTGCACTGCAACGTAACACCGTGATGTGAAGCAGTTTTGACGTGCAGCCAAAGTCAGAGCTGCAGATAACATGACAAGGCAAATGGATGAGTGGCTGAGCTGACTAGGAAGTCTGGCTGGACCTCTGGCTAAAAATTTATATTAGAGGTACTTGCAGAGTGTTAGCTGAAACCAACTATACCAGGAGTTTTTGCAGAACTTTACAATTTGCTTGTCTGTAGAAAGAACAAAATAATCATCTTCATGAATCTAAAGGTTGTGTTCCAAGACGGTTTGATCAGTGATTTCTCACCTTTATCGGGCTTTTCCTTCAAACCCAAACATCCCTGTCACAGTGCGTTTGGTTTGTGTTTTCTTTGTCCAGGAAACAGCCAAAAGGCTGACATTTTCAGCACCTACTCCCTCACAGCGTGCACTTTGTCTGCATAAGAAAGGACTTCATATTTGTAAAGAAAACAAAAGGATGGACCATTTTGTGATGTTAAACGCAAACAGTCTTCTGTGTCGTTCACCAACTGAGATAAAGAGCTGAAATATATGTGTGTATGTGCGTATGTGTGAGGGAGTGATGGAAATCCAACTAACACCTCCCATAGACTTACCTGTTCACCAAATGTTTCAGTCAGTAGCAGTATTGCAGCTTTCCGTCATCGCCCATTCATCCAAAAACCCTGTCTGAAAAACAAAAGATCACGAATTTCCCAAGGGACGAAACATCGAAGCAGAAATGTCCATCCATCAGCTCAAGATTGTGGTGAAAGGAATATCAGAGCATTAATCCTTCTTTCAGTACAGGCACCAAACCCCAATGATTGGTGAAAAAGGAGGGATTGTTTTCAAAAATAGAGGGATTGTTGGAAAAACGGAGGTAAAGAGAGGCTTAGAGGAGTGATGGGAGGATAAGATCCTTAGATGTAGAGGGCTGGAGATAGTTAATCCTTTCCTTCTGATCTTTTCCCCGCGTGAATGACATGTCCAGTGCTGTCCTGCTTGCTGGCTCGTGCGCTGCTGTGTGTCTGAGAGGCGTGAGTGTGTGTGAAAAAGAAGGAGAGCGTGTCTGGGAGAGAGAAAGAGCGACAACGGCATTAGGTTGCTGGCGTCATGCGCTTCGCCTTTTCTGTGTGTCGCTATGTTTGTGATTCCAGCTCTCAGCACGCGTCCCAATGTGTATGAGCTCGTCTCCCATGTGTCTGAAAGTGCTGGTTGCTTTTCTTTTCTGTGTGTGTATGCAGCCGTGTGAGTGTGTGTGTGTGTGTGTGTGCTTTGTCAAATATAGTAACATTAGTGCATGCTGCCTGTGTCTGCCTGCAGCTCTCCAGCAGTGACAGAGAGAGGATGAGGGAGGTGGAATACAGAGCGAGAGATAATGCGAGAGTGAAAGCCAAGAGAGGGGTGAGGGGGAAATAGAAGGGGGGAGGCAGGAGTGGGAAGCAGGGAGAGAAATGAGGTGGTCTGTCAAAAAATCTAAAGGTAAGAGGGAGATGAGGGAGGTAGAGATGAGGTTGAAGGAAAGAAGGGGAGATGTGTGATGAGAGGAGGAGGGACGAGAATCTCCCTCTGCCACACAGGCTTTTCTCCTCCCTCTGTGTATTTTTCTTTTTTTCTGCTCACATCTCCCTCACACGCCTTTCATTTTCAGTCTGTTCCTTGTGGCATCTCTTGTAACGCTTGCCTGTGTGTGTGTGTGTGTGTGCGTGTGTGCGTGCGTGTGTGTGTGTGTGCTGACACACATGCATACAATCTCGTGTTAGTGAGGAGAAAGTGTGATCCTCTGCAGATGAAAGCAGCATATTTTAAATAAAGAGTTAAAGAATTGGTCACGATTTTCATTTTCAGTGAGATGGAAGGTGTGTAAAGGGGTGTGTGTCGGGGAGTCATGAACTGATTAGGGTTTTCTTTGTTTGCACACACACACCATATAATTACTTGGCTGCTCGTCCTTACATGGAGTGAATCATAGTTGACACACACATATACACATTATGCTGTTAATGAGCGTGTGAATCACTTGACACAGTTGGCAGCAGGTAAATGAAAGACGACTGTTACCGTGATGAAATGAGCCAAAACTATTCATCTGTTCTACTTTTTAGAAGTTGTTTTCATCCAGGTGTTTGCTGCTTCCTATTCACTGATTCACCACAAAATTCAGAGTGATGTTTTTGCTAAATCGGTCTGGTTATATGGGCTGATCGTCAGCCAGATGGCTGACATTCAGCCCTGTAGCAGCACTCATGAAATGTCCTTGAGTGAACCTTCAGTTGCCGTCAGCCTTGAGGACGTTGTCATGTAGATGGTCTTAACCTCCAGTCTTCCCATTATGAGTGTTGTGGGAGAAAATACCTTTCAATTGATGGAATACAATGATTTACCAGATAAACAAGACCATTTATTAGTTTTTATGTCACTTAAAGGGAAACTAGGCCGTTTTGGTTTGCTTTTAGCACCCCCTAGTGTCCGTTTGTTAAAAACGAAAGCAAAACCTATCTCCTTGCTATGCGGTCGTCTTTTTAACACCTTAATCTAACAGTTGGAACGTCTCCCCAGCCTTCCTTACTGTCTACAGGAGTGATTCATTGCTAAATCTAACAAATCGGATGAGTTCCTGAAACATGGCCCGAGAAAATAATTTGAAATATCAAAAAGTTGTATTATATGGCTTAAACTTAATTTTTATTATGATAATCTGCTGAATGTTGTACAAGATGTATTTTATTTTAATCATAAAGTACCGGTGGCGCCAGTGCTCGGCAGCCTCGCCTCTGTCAGTGCGCCCCAGGGCAGCTGTGGCTACATCGTAGCTCATCCCCACCAGTGTGTGAATGTGTGTGTGAATGGGTGAATGACTGATTGTGTTGTAAAGCACCTTGGGGGGTTTCAAGAACTCTAGAAGGCGCTACATCAAATACAGGCCATTTTACCATTTTACTTGTCAGATGCTAAACTGGAGGTTTTAAAGCCAACTGTACTGACTTTAGGTGCTCGAACCTAACTAAAATATCAGCAGATAATAAAAAATACTTTAGTTGGATACATAATTATCTTGTTGTGTTGCTTGATTATAATCAGATGTGTTCGGATGTGGCCTAATAGTTCGATTTGGGCCTTTTTATTTCATCCAGTGAGTAAACCATATCCCTTCACAGTGGCCTAGTGGTAGAGTCTCTGCCCTGGGAGTGGGAAATCGGGGTTCAAATCCCTGTCAGGTCATGCCAAAGATTAAAAGTGGGACCCACTGCCTTCCCACTTGACACCCGGCTTTAAGGAGTTAGGTTGGAGGGTTAAACCACCAAATAGTTCCCGAGCACAGCCACTGCTGCAGCTCACTTCTCCCCATGGGGATGGGTTAAGTGTGGAGATGGGACTTTGAATTTTGAATGAGACACTCTAGCACTAAGATCTATAGAGGAAGGTTTTTCTATCAAACTGGTTTTGGTGATGTGTTTCAAGTCAGAAAACCAGTCGGCACCAGTTTTGGTTAGACTCTAGATTCCAGATTTCCTGGATCAGAGTCAAGAATAAAATTCATCAGAGGCTGAAGTAATAAAATGCAATGAGAGACAAGTAATAAATGAAATCTACCAAAGTTAAACCAGTGAGCTTCAGCAGCAACAGGACGTGGATATCAGGATCACATTATTTCTCATTTTAGCAAAATTTTGAAATGCTTTTCAGGTGTTTATAAATCCTGCTTGAGAGTGTGTATAACTTTTGTTTAGTGGATAAGGAATGAGTGTTTGTGGTTCAGCACCATGGACAGCTCACAACTGATGTATGAGAACAATGATAACGTTGTTAAGCGGCAGGTATGTCATACCTGTGAATCCCAAGCTGCTTGTTTAAATTTTGTTTTTTCACTGCAAACAAATTTTCTAATCCTGCACAAGTAAGGTGAAAAGTCAGAAAGGTTTTGGTGAATCAGCTTCGCCTGATTAGCAGCCAATCTAATTTCTGACATGTATACATCTTCAGTGAAATAGGCTGACTGTTTAATACGTATTTGTACAGGTCAGGTAAAACTGTAGACTGGTCAAGCTTCCTGTTCCTGCAGAGACACACAAACCATCCGCTCACCGGCTCTCTGGCTTCCTGTCCAAATGCAGGCACTGATTGATGAATACAGTTCTTGGCAAACAGAAACCCAGTTTAGCTGCCAGTGGAGCTTGCCAGTAAGACTAAAATGACTGAAAAAACAAAGATTCAATATGCTGTCATGCATAAAAGTGTGACGGGACTATCTGCTCCAACCCCTGCAGTGGTTATATCACTTTATCTGTGTGTGCACATGCTTGTGAGTTTATCCTAAAATGCAAATCAGTGCTCTAATTAGTTATTTAGTCCAACCTCTTCAGAGTGCCAGATAGAGATGAGAGTTGAAGTCACAGAGATTTTAATGCCAGACTCATTCTGTTGGAAATTGAGACACTTGTGTGTTTCAGGTGATTCAGTGACTTTATTTTCATTTGGCTACTCTGAAACTGTGTGACTAAAGAAATCATCTTCTCTGCGTATGTTTTTTTAGCCTTTGAACACATTTCACGTCAACAGTAACGTGTTTTCAGGGACCTTGCAGTGTGCAGCCGCTGAAACGACTGAAGTCTGTGATGTAACCTGAATGCCGTTAGCATTCTTTCATGCATCAAGTCTATCTTTGTCATTAAGCTCTCACGCTGACATCTAGAAACATAGTGGTCACTGCTTTTGCTTTAATGTGAGTTATGTAAATCATGAGGATCTTTGCTTGTTCTGCTACACTCAGGGCTGCACTTTGCTCCCACCATCACAAAGCCACATGTACATCCAAGTTTTGAACCCCAGATAGAAATGCTTAATGTCCGTCAAAGCCATGAGTCAATGCTTCCTGTGCATTTGGCGAACGGAGCTCCTGGCACAGCAGCCAAGGCATTTTTTATTGTTTTGTTGCATGAATGATTCAGGAAAAATTATTTGCAGCATTTGTTTAAAGCAAGGATGGTAATTTATAACGTTCTGATTTATTACATAAACCCAGCATTTCACTTTCATATTTATAACAGAGCTAAAGGAATAGTGTTTTATTTATTATCTTGAATCTGTGATTAAATTCCTGCGGTCCTTTCTGGCTTTTGCTTCCAATTCTGATGATATATGAATTTAGACTCTGCTTGCTGCTGTAAATGGATGATCATCACCACCCCATCCCTTCTTTCACAGAGTATCCTCTTACTCTTTATCTCTCTTTTCCTTTGTTTTCTCCCCTCAACCATGTGGCTCCTTTACTTTGTAATTAACGTTGCTACTTGGCGAGTGTCAGTAGTGATGAATTGACCCAAGGCGTTGTAATAAAACCCACTTTAGGCCAGGATCTGTTCTAGTTCCTGCAAAGGCCAAGTGACTTTAAGAGACTTCATACACAGAAGGGAATGCATTTGTTTATCATGCTAACTCTTCGTGTTTGTTATTGTTTTTCAACAGCAAATTAAAAATATGCCCCTGAAGCAGTTTGTAACCAAGTGGATGCCTTTTTAAAAAACTAATCACACATTAGCCAAATGTTCTATTTTTACTGTAATTCTCAAAACATGCATTTATGTGGCCTGAAATGTAACAGTTTTTTTTCCTGCCTTGCAAAAATAATTTAAACTGTTCCCCATTTCAATGTGTTAAAGTGTGGTTTATTGATTTATTCAATACATTTGCAGTGTTCACTTGAGTAAACCAATGCCTTATGTGTCATTAAAAAAGCTATGATGCTCCTGTTCTAAGATGCAGAAGTTTGCTGGTGCAGAGGTGGGCTGAAAACAGCAGGATTGCTCATTATTATTAATGATATGCACGTGCCTCACTTCTGATTGGCTAACAGAATGCATTAGCCAACCAACACACTCTCCGCTCTCTCTCTCATCACTGCAAAAAAAAAAATGTTTTTTTATATTTCGAGGAGCTAATAAAATATATTTAAATTCCTCTTCCAGAACCTAAATTAATTATCATTTTTTAACCTCATTCTGTTTCTTTCATAAAATAATACATCAAATTAAAGCATAAGATCATTTAAGTTTTAGCAGCATTATAGTGTCACCTTCAGCTTTTACTGCACGTGCAATGCAAAAATAATGCAAAATATCTGCAGTATAAAATAACATGTGCTCTCATATATGAAGTTTTTGAGGATGGTCATGCATGCATTTGCTCTGGCGTTTTCATATTGGGTGGAATATAAACTTTGTTGCACCTTTACAAAAAAAAAACTCAGAGTTTAAGAGGACTTGTGTTTGTTGCATTTTTCTCACTGTGTCCATTCTGTCACTACACAACAATTTAAGTAGTTCGGTCAACAGATGGGTTAGCAGTGGTTAGAGCTGTTGCCTTGCAGCAAGAAGGTCCTGGGTTCGCTTGACGGCCTGGGATCTTTCTGCATGGAGTTTGCATGTTCTCCCTGTGCATGCGTGGGTTCTCTCCGGGTACTCCGGCTTCCTCCACAGTCCAAAAACATGACTGTTAGGTTGATTGGTCTGTC